GGATTTTCACAAAATCTGTTTCAATTTTTCATTTCCCTCATTTTCTGTCAGAATTTGAAACCCTGTGACTGGAAAAATTAAAAAAAAAAATAAAAGCTTGCAAAAATCTCATAAAAATTTCCAGATGAAGAGAAATGGTAACCTTGTGCTAATATCTATTTGATCTTTAAAATTTCTGTTCCTTTGAAATTCCTGCACACTCCTCCAGGAGAAGGAAACAACAAAATGTATAAAAGGCACTCATTTTCAGTAATATTGTTGTAACCCGAGGAACTTAAAATTCTCTCCAAAAGTGACTCTTTACTCAGTAACCCATGTAGGGCTTCTGTACCAGCTCCATACCACGTTAGAAATCGTGTCTTTAAAAGTTTTGGTAGCAGGATTTGAAAACAGTTATTAAAAGCTTTTATTATCAACAAATCACATACTGGGACAGGAGAATAACATGCCCTCATTTTTCTCCAGCCTTCTGTGGGCTCCAAAGGGCTCTGCCCTGTGTCGTCTTCCCTCCTCCCTCTGGAGCAGGCATCTCCTCTCCAGGGAAGCTCATCTGTAAACACGAGCCCGACTGCTCGCGCGGATGACTCAGATCCACCCGTATGCTCCCTTCTGTCCAAGCCCAAAGCTCAGCCTGCTTCTCTCTGAACGTCTCGCCATCGGCTCAAGCTCAGTACGGCTCAGCAGAGCTCTTAATCTAAGTCTTCTAAGCTCTCTTTGCTGCTGCTTTTTCCAGTCACTGTGGCTAACGTCACTGGCCTGTCTGCTGCTTGGGCCGTGAACTTGTCAGCACCTGCAGACCGGGACTTTCTCCGCCTCAGCTTCTCATATCAAAGTTCTGTGTAAATTTTGACACATAAAACTTCAAAGCGATGACCTTCCTCATGCTTTCATACAGCTAAGATTGCCAGTCTTTATTTATCCCTTTGCCTTTCTGTTCTCACAAGATGCTTTTCCCTGGTTTCGGTATTTTCCCGCTCTTTCCCCTGTGCCCGCAGCTGCAAGGAGGTTTCCTCTCTCCCCGCGTCTTCCCACCAGCTCTCCTGTCACCAAGCACAACGTAATTCTCCTCCGTGCAGACTGCAGCCCCACTGCCATCTCCGATAACCCGCGGCACCAGCTGTCATTGCACATTTGTAAACCTCTCACACCAGTCACACCCTCACCCTGCACTGGCCTTCCAGCCTGGGAGAAGCTCTCTGTGAAAATACACAGCACTCTGCCATTGCACACCTTCAAAATATCCCCCAGAGCTTTTTTTTCCACACTGTCTGCAAAAACCAAGTTGCTGGCGTGCTGCAAGTGTCGTGGGCACAATGACCAGTAATGTGCTATTTTCCTCCACGCCCCTGAATGTAGCTACCTGCTGCTTTGTGTTTTCTACTTTGATTGTAAATGTCAGATAACAAATGCATTGAGCGTCTCTACCACGTGGGCATGTGTGGAACAGGGCACTGCGAAGCCCTGGCCCATGTCTGAATTGCACAGACACCGCAGTACCAGAACTACAGGCATTTCACATTCAGCTACACAAATGTTGTGAATACATTATTCAGTTACCGGACTAGGTTTAATTCATACTCCTTTAAAAGAAAGACTAAAGGTATCCGTGAATGTTAAAAAAAAAAATTTAAAAATTGGATTCTTTACAAATATAATTATTTAGTGTCTATGAAAATGTGGTGCCTTTCTTCAAAGGCACTTCTGGAACTGAAATCTTTTCTTTCTTCTTACCTTTGCGTGCACTGTGGAATTATAGTGGCAATATTCTCACTTGGAATCACATTTCTGGTGCTCTGTCTCTAAAGTTTATTTTTTCTGCAGGGATCTGTAGTTTCTATAGTGTTATAACCCAAACCAAATGTTTTCTGAGGCACAACAGAAAGCTCTATTTCTAAGCCATTTGAACACATGTATTCGAAATGTATTAAATGTGGGTAAATCATGACTGCAGAAGAAGATATTTCTAGATGTGGAGTCTTTTAAAAGGAGCTAAAACTGTTTTCCTTTCCAAGAAAAATATATCAGTTTCCCTATGTTTAGTGTATTTCAAATTCTGTCAACAAGTCGTAAGCTGTTAACAGGAAGCTGCCTCCTGTTTCGCTCGCTGCCAAGATTAGGGGTGACATTCCTGCCCTCTTGAAATCAGTGATAAAATTTCCTTTGATTTCAATAGGGAGAAGATTTAATCCAAAGCATGAAAATTATTATCCTTACATTTTCAGAACTGAAAATAATAAAAGTCTCCTTCCAATTCATACTTATCTCCATTTTCAGATACTGCCATGTAAGAATTATTTTTACTGTCATCCTTTTCAATATAAAGCTTATCTTAGTTGGTTTTGATGCCTGAAGACAGGAATTAGCTTATAAAGTATTTTTGCAGTGTACAACAACACAAAAAGAGTAGCTCAGAAAGGCAAAAGTAAACACTTAAAAATAAGCACTTCTCTTTCCATGTTATTAATATGGATTTGCTATCTTTCCACACAAAAGAATGAATATAATTTCATTATCAAGAAAATGATGCTTATAAAGATAGTTCTTTTGCAGGTTGACGTTTGGTGGGAGGAGATGAAGGAAGGGTTGATTCAAAGATCAGTGGAATAGGTGGGGAGAAAAGTAGGTAGAAAAACTTCCATTGACTGTGTTGGGCTGTATGTCACACCCTTCTCCCCTGTTAAATACTGCACAGCAAGGAAAGTTCAAACCCTTCTAACTTATCCTTAGGAGCCTTTTTAAGAAGAACAGCAAAATGCACAAGCCACGTAGTCCCAACTGAGTTGTATAAGATTAGGATACATTTCCAGAAATGCTGAAGTGAGTATAACCTAGATGTCAGGAATATACAGGGACCTGGTGCATAACTAGACAGTACCTAACCTGGCAAACACTGGAGGTCTCCTTGATGACTTACTGCTAAGACCCAAACACACCAAATTCAGTGAAAGCTGGGTATTGACCATCTACCCAGGGTTAACTAGGGCCCAGATTTTCCTATGTGATCTCTGGTATTTGGCAAATCCTTCTCTTAATGACCAACGGTTATCAGTTAAAAAATGAAGAATAAAAATAAAGCGTCAATTAAAAAAATTTGGCTGTCTCTAACCCTCTTCTAGGGTTAGAATTTTGTTCATTCTTCACTTCACAAAGAAAGTCACCACAGAAGGAAAATGTGAGCATAAATCACCTTAACTTTCATCTCTCTGAAAAAAATGCCTTCAAAGAAAAGTGATTTTTAATTGGGTGTTGTTATACTATGATCTGCATGTTGATACTCACACGATACATATGTTTATCACACCATAATCATGGTTTAGATTGCCTACCTGATGAAATACTTTGAAATACTGCTTTGTAATTGCTATTCCATACTAACTCCCCATGTGGACATCCCTACACTGCTTAATTGACTTCACAGCACCAAGAGTGTAAGCACGCCACTGCACACCCCAGGGCAAGCTACAGTATGATTCTGCAGCGTGCCACCGACTTCAATGCGCCCATCCTGTCCCACAGTGCGCAGAGCCGTTTGCCACACTGAAATGCTGCTGTGCTTGACTCTACCTTCAAATATCGACCAGACCTACATCATGTAGAAGTTTCTGTAACTGAGATAATAAACACATGTTTTGTTACGTAAGCTACTTCATAATTCAGCTCAAAAAACAAGCAACCCTTCAATTACTCATAAACAATACACAATTTACAGAATTAATAAGGACAGTAGATGAACATAATTCAGAAATCGAAGATTCACTGAAAATCAACGGGACTTCGGCTCTTGAGCCAGCGCTTCCAGAACAGGAACCCAGCAGGGCAGTGACATTCCTCTGAAACCTGGCTTGTTGGCACACCTCCGCATGTGCGCAAGATAGCAAAAGGATGAGGTTCTGCTGACATCTGGTGATAAATGCCTGAACAGCAGAACTGCTGTCTTAACGCGTAGGTAAATGAAATAAAAAAATATATAAAAAAACAGGAGTAAAGGTACAGACCCGCCTTCTTTCTATGGCAGAAAATTTTCTGGTCATTGCTATGTCATAATGGTGGAGTGAGGTTGGGGAAAGGACGAAAAGGAAAGGTAAAAATAAAATTTGCTGTTAGATTTTTTGTCAGATCTTCTCTGGCAAGGCTGATGAGGTCACTTCCTACTGAGTCAATACACTACTGGCAGTGAGTCATTGTGGAGATGCCGACTAAGCTGAAAGAGATTTGCTAATGACTGGATGATCAGCAAAAGTATGTAATTAATATCAGCAGAGACCAGTATCTGTTTGTCAAACGATCAGATTCATGCTAACATGGGAGTGCGATAACATGACAGACTACTGAGAGATTTTCAAACTTACTTCTTTTTAATATGGGAAGAGAATTTTTTGCTTACTCAGCACCTTATCCTCAAAACTCAGCAAATATCATATCTGAACTCTGCTGAGGTTGTTTAGGCCCCAGAAAAAGTAAAATTTTAATAGAATTTTTCTCACTGCTACAACGCTAAACAATTAAGACAGGCTTCAAACTTCCAGTTACAGCACAGTCCTAATGCTAATAACTTTGAGCTTTGTGTGAAGCACGCTGAAAAAGAGAGAAGACTGCTACACCGTTCGTAATAAGTCTTTCTGTTAACAGACTGCACACTGCACTCCCTTTCATTTGTACGGGAGGAGGGGGTGGGGGGGCTGGTGGTGCATGGTCCCTGGTAAGAAAAACGTGTTTTGGGCAGTGTTTTAGACACTATGTAACCTGTATTAACTGCTTTTCTGATAAGAAAAGCTCAGGCAGTGCAGATTTGCTCCTTTTGCTGTTGTTCACGTGTGATCCTCCCCTGCCCCCTCAAGGAAGGAAAGAGAAATTTACAGTAAAGAAAGAATTCACTTTCTGTCCCTGGTGTTCGCCCGTTAAAAAAAATTACTGCTTGTAAAATACAGGCCCGAAGATCTTATCCTGAACAACCGTGTACTTGGGTTTGTTTATATATTCCCGCCTTCTCTGTACCCAGGATGAACTGGAAGGCGTTGCAACGGGTAATTGCTGTGATTACTGGATGCTTGCCAGCCCGTTCTGCCCTGGATGCAAAGGGCTGCTGGAGCCTGGAGCAGCCCAAAACTGCCAGCACACCTCGGCCCGGCTGCTTGTCCAGCGTGAGGCTTGTCTGTGGAGACGTGGTGGAAACGCCTGGGGTATCTGGACGTACGGCTGCCCAGTCAGAGCTACTCGCAAGTCTGACCGAGATGCTAAACATCCAGAAATTCTCGGCAAATGTAGAACACATTCACATTGGACAACAATTTCAAGCTAAAAAATAAGACATGTTCTTGAGGCAGACTGTAGCTCTAAATCAGACGCAAAGCCTCTGCTGTGTATGAAGTGAAGCTGCGGTTGAGACTGCTGAAAACTCTCGGGCATGCCGTGCACATACAGCTTGTTTGTGCAGCACACAGCCAAGCCGAATGCTTTATGGAGGTATTCAGCTAATTCTTCGTGTGCATGTATAATTATGTCCGCGAAGCTCTAGACAGAAGCATGGCAGCCTCTGCCTGCCAGTATTTACCTGGGCAAGTTGCACGGACCATTAGCAAGCTTTTATCAGCACTGGGCATGTCAAGGCATTGCCGTTAACCACCTTGCTGGTTGCGTGTTCTGAGCACCAGAACAAAAGGTGTAGTCAGCAGCTGTACATTGCAAAGGGAGAAGATTAACAGAGAAACAAGGTAAGAAGGAAAAATGGCCGGAAGAGAAGGCGCAAGAGACAAGAAGGCGTGTAGGCATTGTTTAGGATGTAAAGGAAGCTGATGAACGCAGTTATGTCACTCAGTAATAGTGATCATTACAGGGCTGGCTTATTTCCTCACAGGCCCACAACCCTCAGCCTCCCCACAGGGTGCCCAACTAGAGGTGGTAACTCTTTCCATTGAGAGTCAGCAATCAAGGCACATTTCCAAACTGGCAACTACAAGCGTTTGATGCCCTTTCTGAAATGCTTTAGATCATCGTCATTCCAGGTAGTCACTTTATTCACAACTGTGAACACTCTTCGGACCAGCTGAGCCTTTAAACACCACTGCGTGCAAACCTCCTTGTCTCCAGCTGGTGCTGGAGCTTCTCATCCACCAGTACTCTCAAGTCCTTCTCCTCAGGGCTGCTCTTGAGCCACTCTGCGCCCAGCCTGTACTTGTGTTTGGGATTGCCCTGACCCACGTGCAAGACCTTGCACTTGGCCTTGTTGAACTTTATGTGGTTCACGCAGGCCCACCTCTCCAGCCTGCCAAGGTCCCTCTGAATGGCATCCTTTCCCTCCAGCGTGTCAACCACACCACACAGCTTGGTGTCATCGGCAAACTTCCTGAGGGTGCACTCAGTCCTATTGTCCATGTCATCGACAAAGATATTAAACTTCACTGGCCCCAGTACCAACCCCTGAGGCACACCACTTGTCACTGTTCTCCATCTGGACATTGAGCCATTGACTGCAACTCTTTGAGTGTCCATCAACTAGAGCTGTCTGTAGGTACATGCTTATATAAAATACAAGTTCTACTATGTATAGAGCTGATTGAAATTTGAATCTGGCTGCTGGGCTGGGAGGACAACGTGGCGAGGACTGCTGGGCTGGGAGGATGGCACGGTGAGGGCTGCTGGCACTGACTCTGAGACAGGAGCCGTTGGGAAGAAAAGCCGTGCAGCCCCGTTGCCAGCCAAAAGACAACCTGTGCTTTGCACGTTTACAGTATTTCCGTGATGCGAGGGTCCACTGGGCCACGACCTGGAAGGACACGTGTTTGTAAGCTTGCTGGCCCAGGAACCCTGTTGTAAAATGAACGCCTGGTGGGTCAGCCCGAGGTCGCCCACCCGAAACACCTTCCGTGGGTGTGCGGCCACCCAGGCCAGCTGCGCAGGCCAGAGCCCGTGCC